TAGGACTTTTTGGGAATGTGAAATAATCATAATTCTTTTAACTTGTTCTTGTTTTTAAATTTGACATAGACTTCCTAAGAACTCTTTTTTTCATATATCATTTGAGGTCATAAAAGAGTACTTCCAAAGGTCCTTTAAGTGGTGCTGCATGTTCATATTTGTTATTATTTCCACTGTTTAAAAATATTGATATTGCCATTAATTTCTTTTTCAAATTTTAGTTATATTGTCTAAAAAATTCACCATTTTAACATTTGCGCCTTTTTTTCTTTTAAATACAAGGCTATAACAAAACAATAAATTAATTAATTTGAATCAATTGTAATATGAGTACATCATTGAAATAAGAATACTTACATCAACATTTTTTCACAAAACCCTATTTTTTTTTTTAAACTAGAATATAAGGACACCTCTTCATTGTTAATGACAGTATCGCTAGATCCACAACTTTTCTGAGCCACTATAATTTGTTGTATAATTGCATCCAAATTAAAGTTTCTGGGGTATAAAACATTGTCTAATCACCCATGTTGTGGTCTTAATTCATCTAAAAAGAATAAAATTTTTTAAAAAAATGTATTTTATAACAAATATTATACAATTTTATCTCATTTGTATCTATGTATTGATAAAACTTCTTTCATAATGAAAAACTATTCGAATATAATTAATTATAGTAGATAGTTAGATAATTTGAGAAAATAAGTTTGTGTGATATATATAATTTCTTTTCCTTTTTATTTAAATTTATAATTTAATATAATAAGTTTCTAATATAGGTAGCTAGTGTGGCTACTAATGTAAGTAACTAATATAAATATATATTACTAGATATATATAATTTCTTTTCCTTTTTATTTAAATTTTATAATTTCTTTTCCTTTTTATTTAAATTTATAATTTAATATAATAAGTTTCTAATATAGGTAGCTAGTGTGGCTACTAATGTAAGTAACTAATATAAATATATATTACTAGCTATTATTAATCACAGTTGAGCTAATTCAAATCAAAATGAATACATTTTTTTTGCTACAAAATATGATTTATAATGAACCTCTTGTTAAATTTACAATTATTTCTGTAAAGTCTAACAGTTTTACCACAAAGTACTTAATGTATGGTTTCCAAGGCATGACTGTTATCACGTGAGTGAACTTTATCATGGCGATTACCAGTCCGAGAGCAGTGTATTGATTTATTTCATTCTCAAACCAGCTCTTGGGTAGTGTATTTCGACTGTCCCGTACAGTATAAATAGTTCAAAATGGAAAACACTTTACCATATTTAGAAAAGGTAAATATAAGTTTTGTATTCAAAATTCAATTCTCTATGAATATTATTAACTGAATTGCACCAAATAACAAAATTGAAAACAATAAAAAGATAATTTTTTTTTAAAATTTTTGCAAATATGAATATTAGTCATTTGGTCAGAGCACATGACAAGGATTTTCTTTTCCATGAGTTAATATCATGCAATAATTATAATCATATTTTAGGTATTAGGAAGTATTAATCAATCAATTATGGTAATTTATGTTGATAAACAATATTGTTATGATCGAAAAGAAAATTATTCAAATTTTCAAAAAAACCATAGAAAATAAAAGACCCATAACTTTAACAAAAAATTTCAACCATCAATAATATTCTGAATTTTTTTTTTTCAAAATGGCTATTTTGAATTTGTTTAAAAAAATTATAGTCAAATTTAAAATTTTTTATTTTAAGTTACCCTCCCTTTAAAAAAAAAATATCTACACATAAACTGAAGCGCTGAAGCATACTAGTTATTTAAAAAAAAAATATACATCAAAAATATTGAATAGAACAAAAGTTATTGCATTTGTCGAATCCTTGTGGGACACCCTGTA